CCCTAAACCCACATATCATGTAAGTTAACCATAAATTATATTGTTTATCCTCAACCCTATCACTGTCCCGGAAACATGGTGCCATTACAGGTGGTGAAGGGGGAGGGAAGCCTTTGTGGCGTGGTCATGATGTGATGGAATATCAGATCATTGGTTGGTTGGTTTGGCAGGTTGGTTGGTTGAATGGTTGGTTAATTGGTTGGTTGGTTGGTTAGTTGGCTGGTTGGTTGGTTGGTTAGTTGGCTGGTTGGTTGGTTGGTTAGTTGGTTGGCTGGTTGGTTGGTTGGTTAGTTGGTTGGTTAATTAGTTGGTAGGTTGATCGGTTAGTTGGCTGGTTAGTTGGTTGGATGGTAGATTGGTTGGTTGGTTGGCTGGTTGGTTGGTTGGTTAGATGGTTGATTGGTTGGTTGATTGGTTGGTTGATTGGTTGGTTGGTTTGTTGGTTAGTTGGTTGGTTGGTTGGTTGGTTAGTTGGTTGGTAGGTTGGTTGGTTGGTTGGTTTGTTGATTGCTTGATTAACTGGCTGGTTGGTTGGTTGGTTGGTTGATCGGTTGGTTGGCTATGATACCTCGTTGACTTGCCAATCGAATTCAGTTGTATTGAGTAAGGGCCAGCCAGGTATTTTTCTCCGTAGAGGGGGCAAAAGCTACAATTTTGGCACAATTCCACCGAATTCGACTAAAATCGATTGTGACCTTCAAATTGAAACGCGGCTATCTTGGCACAAGCTTTGCGCCCTCAATCTGGCCAGCAAACCGCCCTGACAAGACCAGACCCCTCAATGGTACATTATAAGGAAGTCAACGAGGATCAGATGGACAGACAAGGTCACCAACGAGGAAGTGCTAAGGAGAACACGACAGAGTCAAGTCAGAGATGAGGTAGGAAGAAGGCGGTGGCGATGGATTGGACGTACTCTCAGGAAGCCAAGCAGCTGCATAACAAAGAAAGTGTTTGATTGGAGCCCACAGTGTGAAAAATCAACGGGAAGACCACGTGGTACCTGGAGAAGAATCACAGAAATGGGTGTGCAGAAATGTGGGAAAACATGGAATAACACCAAGACGCTAGCCCTGGATAGAGAAAGGTGGGGGGCTCTCGTGGCCTAGAGGTTAAGGTGTTGGCCTCTCATTCAAAAGTCCCGGGTTCGAATCCGGGTAATGACCGAAACATTTTCTTCTCTAAATTTGTCTCCTTTCACCTCCTTTCCAGCTCTCTAGCAATGTTCTGTCGTCTGCTTTCGTCTCCTCTTTCTGCCCCCACTCCCTCATCTCCTTTGCCCACTGCTCTGGGCTCCTGTTTCTTTCTACAGCCTTTCTACTGCTACTCCTTGGCTCCTCCTTACTGCTGTCTTTCTGCCACACCCCTGATCTTCTGGTAGGAAAGATCTACACTTAGGCGAAAAATCTCGGAGGGCCGTGTGCAAGTTGCGCACATTAAAGATCCCTTGGTGGTCTAAAATCGATAAGAGTAGGCTTCGGCCGCCACCTGGGCAAAATTCAAAATTTTCCTACCAACTGAAAAAGTTCAATGTGTCCCGCGCGCTCATATGACCTGATGCAGTTGCGAGCGCCGAAAAACACTTACACAAAAAAAGAGAGAAAGGTGGAAAGTGTTTGTTCGTGGCCTATACCCTGGTGCAGGGTGAGAAAGGCAATGATGATGACTCCGTTCGACGGGATTCGACTGGCGGTGTGACAATGACAATGACAATGACAATGACAATCTTTATTCCTCTCGCAGGGAGAAATTTGTCTTGGTCGTTTACAATGGCACTAGGTGTTACAAAGCTTAGGTACACTCACGCATACACACAACAAGACAGGACATTAGTTTATACATGTATACATGTCTCACGTGCTGAAACAACCCGCTCAGTAAAACTCTCTCTCTCTCTCTCTCTCTCTC